GTAACAGCCCTGGCTGTCCTGGAACTCGCTCTATAGACCAGGCTGGCCTCAAACTCACAGAGATCCACCTACCTCTGCCTCCCAAGTGCTGGGATTAAAGGTGTGCTGACACCACTGCTGACAAAACATTTTTTAAAATTCTGAATCTTATTCTTGTAGACAGTACTCAGGCAGTAGCCTTTCCATGTCCTTTTCCATGAGCAAATGCTAATTCCCTCAGTCAAACCCAGCCACTGCTCTTCAAAGTGAAATGCTTGTATATTTGGCTGGCTTGTTTTCCTCATCCCTCTGGGCTGTTTATCTCCAGACCTCTCTCCGAGGTTAGTTTCTTCCATGTGGTTTACATAACTGAACGAGGAGCGAATTGTTTGATTTATTGATTGACTCATGTTTTACAGTCTTCATGGCTTAAAAATTCAAATGTACTAACTCAGATGTAGAGAGTGCCATCTGCTAAGCCAAACATTGTGTTTTTAAAGTATAATTTCTAAGTGCTCTAAGAGAGGATTTCATGGGTTAGGGGGAGATACATTTTACTTAGAATTATATTCTAGATTACTACTAATAAAAATTTTTATTGCTTTAAAATGAGGCTCTTGTTTCTCATTTGGGTAGCTATTGGATCTGTAAAGGCTTATATCTCGTAGGTCTAAGACCTCCCAAGCACTCCTATTTGTCTCGGAAGAACTGGTACTCAGTGCATTTGATCCCTTGCTGTATTAGAGGATTACTCATTTTAATATTTTAATCCCATGGTAACCTAACAACCAGAGTAAAGAAGTAGACTGCTCTTGAGAGTGGGTATTTGGTCTGCCTTCTGGCTGTGTTGCAGTCAAGAGAATGTTCAGGCAGCTCTGGGCAGATGGTGGGATAAAGTCTCAGACCTGCACTGCCCTCCCATTTAAATGCTGCTCCCCATTTAAAGTGACAGAGAAAACCCAACAGACACACTACTCTTTCAAGAATTCATTTGTTAAACCCAAATTTTGCTGTTTAATCCAGTCTTATATTTAATGTTTGCTTTCTTCACATACAGATATAAAACCACTTAAGATCTTCTTTGACCTTATGGTTCCTGCTAAATCATCCTTAAGTTAATTAGGCCTAGTTTAAATTAACAAAAATTAAATTGATTTTATATCATATAGTAAGTACATACTGCAGTGTTAGCTGGTATGAGTCAACAATTTTTTTAATCTCTTTTCCAAGGAATACTTATTTTGTGATAATCAGTGGACGTGTGGCCATCTTAGAACAGAAGACACTTTGTAATTAATTTGTGCTGGGTCTTAAGGACAGTGGGTAGAATTTAGATAGGGAGAGATGGAAGAGTCGGAGTGGGCATGCTGAGTAGTAGTAACCATGAGGACAGCAGGAGTTTGAAATAGAGCACACATAGCCCGCATTGAATAACCCTTAACAGGACTCAAAGGGAAGTGGTAAGAAATGGAATTGGAAAGTTGAAATCAGATATTGGTGTACCCAGAGCTGCCTGGATAATCTCATGACTAGAACACAGCAGGAGGGCAGACCAGATGCCAGCTCTCAAGAACAGTCTGCTTCTTTACTCTGGTTATTAGGTTTCCATGATATTAAAATTACTGATTTCCTTTTTGTTGCTGTGATAAAACATTCTGGCCAAAAGCATTTTGAAGAGGTCATATTCCATTCTTGAGGGAAGTCAGGGCAGGACCCATGGCAGGAACCTGTCCCATGCAGCATTGTCTCCAACCAGGGGATAAACTCTTAGCCCAGGCAGCTGTTTGCTAGCTGGTTAGCTCTCTGAACCACGCTCACCTGACTTTCTTAGACATTCCAGGCCTAGCTGCCTTAGGGATGCTGCTGCCCACCATGTGTATCCTTCTCCCCACAGCATCCATCATCAGTCAAGACAGTCCTTCACAGACATGCCTACAGGCTAGTCTGATCTAGGTAGTTTCTCAGTTGAAACTACCTTCCCAGTCACTCTTCCCAGGTGACTATGTTGTGTCAGGTTGACAATCAACACTAATCACACCTATACCTTAAAAGTCAGGCCAAATATATCTCTTAAGTAATGAAAAGCCGGGTTCAAACAGAATTATCTTCAAATAATGGAGGAGTTGGCTTACAAAACTCACATCCAAATAGAGCAATTTTGCAGTGTGGTTGACCACACAGCTCAGGTTTCCTATATCAGTGCTGCTCTTCTTCACATATGGGTCTCATGCTTACCAGCTGGCCCAGAAGTCCAAGCTCTCGTCCTGTGAAGACAAGCGACAGCGCAGGTTGCCGAGATGCTCTTTGGCCATACGATGACTCCCATTTGTAGGCAGAGGCTGTGTTTCATTTTCCAGCCGCTGACCCAAATAATCACACAGAAACTATATTAATTACAACACTGTCTGGCCTATCAGCTCAGGCATCTTATTAACTAACTCTTACATCTTAAATTAACAGATCTCCGTTATTCTGTGTATCAACACGAGGCTGTGGCTTACTGGTGAGGGTCCAGTATCTGTCTCCTTCAGCAACTACATGGCATGTCTTTGTCTCCGCCTACTCTCTCTCTATATATTTCTATTCGGATTTCCTACTTGGCTTTATTCTGCCCTGCCACAGGCCGAAGCAACTTCTTTATTAACCATTGAAGGCAACGCATATACAGAAGGACATCCCATGTCATCTCCCCTTTTCTGTCTAAGTAAAAAAGATGATTTTAACTCTAACATAGAAAAATTACATATAATAAAATATACCAAGGGAGAATTATATTTACACTATTTAGTCTATTTGTATTTGGAAAGTTTTATATCTAATTTATCTTTTATCATGACTAAGGAAAACTATAATTATAACTATCTGTCTTTAACCCTTTAAAGACCCCAGAAGGATATAACATTACCTAAGTAAACAGGAAGTTCATTGTAAGCAACTTTTAAAATTCTAGAATTGACAGAGACATCTTGCTGCCTGGACAGTCATTCAAAGTTTTTTGTTGTTGTGTTTGTGTTTGTTTGTTTGTTTGTTTGTTTGTTTTTTGTAACATTGGGGCATCCATCTTCAGCCCGCAAGGGCTTATAGATTCTGGCAGATTTTTCCATGAAGCAAGGAATGTGACGATATTTTGCTTTATAATGGCAAAGTTCATCAGTTGCTTTCTTTTTGTGTCCTGCAGAATGTCTGGCAGGTTTATTGTTTTGGTTTTTTTTTTTCTGACGCACAAACCCTAAAGGATTGTCACACCTTCTTTAGGCAAGTTTGTAGGTCCTACATCTCCAGTTTATACAATATATCATCAAGCAGTCCAGGCAAGAACAGTTTTTTGCCCAAATGACTAACAAATTCCATAAGGAGCCTCTTCGATGCCCATCATCATCTTGAAGTAGATTGGTGCTGCCAGGAGATATGTCTTATTGTCATGAAAAGTCTGAATTTTTAAAAAATTTTAAATGCCATATTTTTTAGGCTTTGAAGTGTTAAAGATTATCTATCTAGGGGAAATATATTTCTTTATCTCTAGAAATCCTAACTAACGTTTAATCCAAACTACAAGTTTGACTATAATAGGTAACTATCTAAATATTTAATTTTTAATTTTACATTGCATTTTAAAATGAACTATATGAACATAATACCTTAAACAAGAGCAGAAATACGTATACACAGTTTAACAAATTGAACTTAAATTTGTATCACTAGACCAAGGTCCCGCATCACTCCTTACCATGCCTGAAGGAACAGTGTGAAGGCAGGCATCTGCTAACTACATTTGTTCAGAATTGACCACTGTGAACCACTCTGCCCTTATAAAAAGGGAAGCTCACAGCTAAATCTTGAACTTTAAGTATACTTTTATCTGAAGTATGCTCTGGTCTTCTCCTGACTTTTACTTTTGCGGCAGTAAATGGTATCACATTGATTGCAATGTGGACACTAGAATTATATAATATTACTCAGTTATTATTGCCATTATTCTGAATATTTTTGTTAAGATGAATTTTAAAATGAAAGCACAAGATTGCTAAATACTAAGAGGACTCTTGGATGGATCCCAAGAACTAATACGGCTAGTTGGGAAGCACCGCTGACTACCACGCTAAGTGGTAGTCTTCTGGTTTACCCTGCACTATTCTGGACCTCGTTGTCTTACCCAGGCTGCCTCAGTGTCTGGAGTGCTGGGATTATAAGCAAGAACCTCCACACTTAGATAACTAAGAGTCTTCTAGGTTGGTATTTTTTTTTTATTTAAAAATCTCTTTGGTCAATCAGTCAGGCTTTTAATTCCAGCCCTCGGGAGGCAGAGGCAGGTGGATCTCTGTGAGTTCAAGGCCAGCCTGATCTACAAAACTAGTTTTGGAACGGCCAGGGCTACACAGAGAAACCCTATCTCTAAAGACTGAACAGACATAACAAGGAAACAAAAATCCCTTTGTTCAGAGCCAAGAACATGGCGTAGCAGTAGAGGGATGACCTGGCGTATTCAAGGCATTGGATTTGATCCTCAGTATTAAAAAACGAGGAGGCTGGAGAGTTGTTCATCAGTTAAGAACACTTGTTCTTGTAGAGGACCCAGGTTTGATACCCAGCACTCACATGGTAGCTTACACCTGTCCATATTGCAGTTCCAGGGGACCCAGTGCCCTGTTTTGATTTCTCCAGGCACCAGGCATTCCCATGGTACACAGGCCTGGGAGCACTCACACACATAAAGCAAACAAATAAATAAACAAATAATTTTTTTAAAAAATTTCCCTGTTCATAAAGCCAGTATTCTGATATGCTTAGTGAAAATCGATCAATTTGGGCAAATTTCTTCTAGTTCTCACTTTCTCATAAAGCAACATTGCTAAGGTACTTTCTTTGGTTAGTGTTTTAATCTTGGTGTGTGTGTGTGTGTGTGTGTGTGTGCGTTCGTGCCTATGTGTTTGTGATTCATTAATAAAGGTAAGTTTAGGGTTCTTGGGTAGTTTTCAGTTCTGAATTAAAGTAGTTCTTTTTATTTTTCTAAATCTTAATAGGATTTTTCCAATTAAAGATGTGCCCTTGGAGACGGATGACCTCGCCAGTTGGCTCTATCAGCGGTTTATCGAGAAGGAGGACCTCTTGTCACATTTCTACAGAACAGGTGCACATTTCTGAAGTTACCAGAGATGCTAGGCATGTGCTTTAGAGGAGATAAACATTTTCCAGTTACTTCTTTTTATCTTTAAAATATTTAATTTTATTATTTCTAATTATGCATAAGGGTGTGTGTGTGCACATGAGTTCAGGTGCCAGAGGAGGCCAGAGGCTTCAGAACCCCTGGAGCTAGAGCTATAGATAGGTGAGCCACATGATGTAGGTGCCGGGAACAGAACTCAGGTCCTCTGAGGAGCAACAGATGCTCTTATCCTCTGAGCTGTCTCTCCAGCCCCCTTTCAGTTGTTTAGATTAGAAATAAAAATCATTCTGTATGTAAGAATTTCAGCTTAGAATCTATGGAAAGAAAACTTTGTGTTGATGTATGTAGTTTCTTCCTTCATCAGCCCGTGTACAGAACAATGAGCCGCACAGCCGTGTGACTCAAACACCGAGGAGCACAGACAGCTGCAGGACAGGAGGCTAATAACAGTCATGTGCTGACCTTGCACTTGAGGTCACTGGATCTGTTTTTACATGCTTTTCCTTCCCTGTCAAGGAGACTTTTATTCTGTTGTATGTTTTAGTTCACAGTCAGTCAGAACAGAGAGTGGCTCAGCAGATGGTCCTGCTCTCACAGGAAGCAGAAGCGTTAGGGTGACAACTTTCCTTGCAAGAAAGGGTATAGTTTATTGTTTTCAAGGGTACAAAGTCAGTTATTTGCCCTTGGGAGGGAAAAGAATCTATTCTTACCTCTTCTATAGTCTCAATACTCTATAGATTCTGTAAGAACTACAGTGAATCTGGTCCTGGTAGCACAGGCCTGGGAGATTGAGGCAGGAGCATCCTGAATTCAAAGCCTTCTTTGGTAACTTCTTGAGACCCTGTCTCTGAATGAAAACTAAAACTCAGGCTGGAAGTGTGACTCAGTGATAGGTACTTGCCCAATATGTGTGCGGCTCTAGATTGAGTCCCCAGCACGAAAACACACAAAAAAAGTATAAAGAAGGCTGAAGAGATGGCTCAGCGGTTAAGAGCACTGACTGCTCTTCCAGAGGTCCTGAGTTCAATTCCCAGCAACCACATGGTGGCTCGCAACCACTTATAATGAGATTTGGTGCCCTCTTCTGGCCTACAGGCAGGATACTGAATAAATAAATAAATAAAGTATAAGGAAAAGACAGAAAAGAAGGAAGAAGAAAGGAAATCGGAAAGAAGAAAATTAGTGTTGGTTAGCATAGTAGCCAACATGTTTTCACAAATTGCTGTGTTATAGGCTGATTTTTTAGTGCCTAAGCAAGGGATGTACAGTGCAGGGCAGAGTTAATTCAAGGCTGAGCAGGCAACCCAGCGAAGAGGTCTTACCTTCCCACCCTTAGTCTCTTACCTCCTGATATTGCCTAAGTTGTAGGAACAGTGGTGAGCCTCTTTAAAAAGCCACTTGCATACCAGCCCTTGAGACTGGAAACCGCCCCTGTAAATTGCTTGTGAGCAGCAAATCCCTTTATGAGCAGCTTACCCTGAGGACTATCAGCAAGGACGAGGACTGGAGAGCAGGAGTGGCCGAGGACCACGGTGACACTGCGCCAAAGCCCTCCAGCTTTCCTTTCCAGAAAAAACCAAATTAGGTATGTTTTCTTTCTAATATTATTACAAAGACATATTTTGTAAACCTTACTGTATTTTGAGAATATAAGTGTTATATAACCACTTTTGTGTTTGCTGTTTCAGAAATTATTAGATATCAATTTCATAGATCCTGTGTCTGACCACTGAAGAAATGTAACAATTCAATAAAGAGCAAGGCAACCTGAGTGCCAGTTCTCACAGGCTGGACTCCAGGGGCGTGGACAGTAGGCAGGCCTACAGAAGGAAAGCAGGCAGGCTGCTGGAGAGCGGAAGGCAGGGAGCCAAGGCCAGAGGGTGCTGCTGACTGGGAGAGTGCTAGGCAAAGGCTAGGTTGCCGGACAGGCTAGGTAGCTTAAGCTTGTGTGTCAGAGGAAATCTCTGCAAAGTAAACCTAACTGTGGCTGAATACTCGGCTTTCATTCAGGAGACCTGTGCTGTCGGGAGTCACGTGACTTTCTGTCTTGTCTTCTAGGGGCCTTTCCTCCTGCCCAGGGCCAGAAGGAAGCTGTTTCCAGGGAGATGACCCTCAGCAACATGTGGATATTCCTCATTCAGTCCTTCGCATTTTTGTCAGGCTATCTGTGGTACCACATCATTCAGTACTTTTACCATTGCCTATTTTAGGAACTGATTTGGACTTGTCACATAGGAGGAGTTCAGACTTCATACATGTGCTTTATTTTACATGTGCAAATCTAAATATACAAATCAAAATATATAAAATGCAAAGGAAATTCAAATGGATGGATTAATGTTTATCCCCCTTTGGGATATTTTAAAATTCTACTACAATGAGGATCAGTAATACAATGAAGTGCTAATGTATTTTAAGAACTTTTTATGTTTTAAGGAGATACACTCTACCGTACGTTTATGCAAGCATCACACTGGGAGAAGAGGAAATCATAAAATCATCCTAGAAGACTTCGAAAGAAACTATTGCCACCAGATGCCCTTGGTCATGCCCCTGTTCAGTGTTAATGTGTCCACCCATCCTGCTGAGGCACTGGAGCCTGGAGAGCTGGTGGGCAAGTCCTGAGGACTCGTCAGTCACCTTCTCTAACAAGCTGCAGCCTCAGTCCTGGCTGAGGAGCAGCACTGGCCTTCTGTGGGAGCAGTGTCCCTGGGAAGGCTAGCTCAGCCCAGCACCATGCTAACGTGTGCTAGTGTTTGCCTCTGTCAGGGAAGGGGAGCACCACTTTCTCTTCTGTATAGAAGGCACATCATAGAGTGATAATTGTATTTTACAAAATGCACTTTTATCAGTTGCAAATATAACAAAGGATAGTAACATAGCCTGAAACAAAGGGAAACCTCATCGTGAGCAGGCCCTCTGGAGGCTTTCCTGTCTTCGTGCTTGCCCATGATGCACTCCAGCACCACCTTCATTGGTCACCTCCCTGACCCCACTCCCCTATTGGTAGCTGGATCTCCCCTCCCCCAATTTTGACATAGTAGCACCAAATGTATTTGGGGGCAGTTAAAGCAAATTAATGCAAGCATTTAAATGACCAGTTTAAGGGAAGTAGACTAGCATATTAGGAAATGAAACGTAGAACCAGACATTGGCTTGCAGTATTGACAGGGCCTCCTGGGGTCCCCAGAGTCTGTGCAGACATCAGTGTGTTCTGTCATGTCAAGCGGCTGTTCTTCTCAGGGTAGCAGGACCAGGAGACAGCAGCTCAGGACACTTACCAGTCTCTTCCAGTTGTTTTTGAAGAGGGCAGAGTCAAGCAAGTTTCTGTCATTGTGTTCCTGTGATTTACCTCACAGGAGAACCAGACTTTGCAAAAAGTACAGACACTTTATTGGTATTGAGACAGAGGGTTTGGTTTAGGATAATAAAATTTTTAAACCTGAATAAGGCAGCAGGAGTTTCCTGTGGCATAAACACTGTGGAGTTCCCTATTGTGGCTAACAGCACAAATAACAATTCTGAGAAATAGGCTGTAAAACAAAAGTAAGGACTAATGTTTTCTGTTTTCAAATAAACCAAAAAAAAAAAAAAGAGGAAAAGATGCAGATTCCCCCATTTGTACGAGAAAGGCTGAACAACACCAAATACAAGCACTTCATCTTTAGCAAACCCAGAGGACGTGTGGAAGAGAATGACATGTTAGCTGGCATACCTCACCAGCACCACACCACTGCTGTTACACTGCAGGAGACCTTTGGTGTGGGAGCATCTGTTATCAAGCAAAGCTGTTTGCTCTGGTTTACAGTGACAGTGAATAGGTGAAGAAAGCCGTCTTCATCTGGAAATGATGGGAATCCAGAGAGAAGCTATTCAGTGCTTCTATTTGAGGCCCAGAAACACTGGATGTATTGAATTGAGGCATTAGTTGGCCATCTGCGGGAGAAGTTGTTCACTAGCTAGCAGCCTATTTCCTCAGTGCAAAGTAAGCCACAGACTGCAGTGGCCAGTTCCTATATGAGTCAGTATATCCATCCATACATGCAGACAGAATTGTGGCTCTGGCCCCCTTCTACCACTACAGTGCTCCAAAGGACGTGATCTCTGAATATACTGTACATGGTAAACTCACTCCCCTAAGAGGCATCACTGTCAGATGCAGTTTGATATTCAGTCTCTAGAGTGACAAATAATGATAGATCTGAGTAACTTTTGATAATGGACATGAGCTGTAAATAGATACGTGTTTGATCTGTCCTACACATCTTCAGTTCTTTCAACATGTCTTCTGTGTGCAAAACCTGTTTGAGAGTATTGATAGGGCTTCCTTATCAGTAACTGGAGACCACCTGCTTGTACTAACTAGGGAATGTGAAGAGAGAACAGGTATTCTTTATAACAGTCTGGGGAAATCACAGTATGCCACTGTAAAGAACGGAATAAAATTCCCCATTTGAACTGTGTGTGTAAAGAAAGGAAGTTAATGTCTCAAGTTAGGGGGAAAGTGAGTAAAGCCACACCAGTTTGTAAAGGCATCCTTTAGGGTTACAGCTCTTTGGCCTCAGCTGGAGACAGGCTGGGCAACTTGCTGCTAGAGTCCTTGGACCACAGACAAGACCAAGCAACAACTCACCTCGCCCAGTTTCAGAAATACATGTATGACTGAGCAGCCCATGAGCAGTGGAAGCAAAGAAAAGCCAGAATGGGATGAAGCTTGAATAGATAAACTAGTTAGATGAAAATTTAATAAAGCATGAAACAATAGCTGTGGATTCAGATCTGTCATGTATTAGTGTTTGGTATTACAGCTCTTAAATTCCTATAGCAAATAACTTGGGATTGCTGAATAAGTAGTCAATTACAGGGTAGTTAATTCAGTATTAAGTCATAGGAAGCCAAAAAATAATTTTTTTGTAGGAATTTCAGGCAACCAGCAGGAAGAGAAAGCAAAGCCAGCATAACCCGTGGGCTGGACAGGCATCTCTGAACAAGACAGAGTTGGTGCAGTTGAATTTGTCCCACCCAATTGCAGCCTCTGATGTGGTTGTCTGGATCAGTGTTGGAAATGCCACTTCATCCATGGCCTTGTGTATGGCTCCCTTCTTATTTGTCTTTGTGATGTGTTTTGACAATCGGTAAACACTGAAGACTCTTATCAGCTTGGTCCTGGTTGTGGTCACAGAGAGTAGTCTCTGTCACGGGTCTTCTGTGTCCACTCGTGTTTGTTTGCATTACTGAACAGGAGGAGTTAACTAATGTTTTGTGGTTTTTCATCCTTTTTATGAATTCACTGCACAACAGTGAACAGAGAATTTTCCTCCAGAGTTACCATTACAGAAAGTGTATTCAGCTCTGTTCCACAAAGGGTGGATGATAATGGTGTCTTCTATGGGATTTTTGCCCTGTGAGTGCTGTGAACCTTCTAGCTGCAGGCAGGAGAGTCAGAGGCGCTCTGGATCACAGGTGTGCTAGTTCATGTCATGATGGGTAGACACTGTTTGGGACCAAAACCACCTAAGTTGGAAATTTCTGGATCACAAAGGAGCCTGGCATACTCTGAAGTAGTTAGTGGTTGGTGCTGTCTGACGGTCATTTTGTACCAGCCCCCAGTAATTACCAAGTGGGCTCTGAGAAGAAGCTGCAGGTTCCAGACTGTTGGGGGAGAATGGCCATAGTCATGTAAGGTACAGTCTTGGGCTTTCTGCAGAAATTCCATCTGGGGAATTTTTACATTTAATATTTTTTTAAAACAGTCTAAAGAGCAAAAAAAAATGTATGTATATTATAGTTGCAAAGTGTGCAGATGCTTTGAATGACTTTATTTTTATTGTGTAAAACTGTTGAACACTGCTGTGGTGCACAAATTCTTTCCATGTAAGGAGTCTGTGCATTCTACAGTAACATCTTATGATTGGGTAATGAGACAGTTATACATTCAACTGCCATTATTTTTATTAAGTGCTTTCACTTTCTTTGCAATTATTACAAAGTTGTATTTATTTTCTACAGATGCATTTTTGTTTTCATAATGCTATAATGTTTACTTCAGCTTGTTGAACTTTCTTTGTGATCTGCTTGTCACAGTGTGTTTTAAGAATGACAGTAAAGGCTGTGGCAACTGTAATTCACTTCTGTAAAGGGCTGGTCACATGTGGATCTGGTTTCTGAATGCATTAGGGATGATTTTACCAGATTACTCTTTAAGAAACTTAGATATTGTGAATACCAAAAGAAGCATTTTCTCAGCAAAAATTAATAGCTGGTTCTATTTTTTTTAATGTAGAGAAAATAAAGTTGATTCTTTTTTTCCAAAACAATGCTTTTAATTCTTAATAGTGGGGATGGGTATCTGTGCTGTCTGGAGCTCCACATTGTGAACCACTGGCGCTCGTGCCTGGAGCTCAGCATTCAGTGGCTGGTGAGAAAACCATCCACTTCCTTCCGGGACTGAAAAGATTTGCCCATCCCCAAGTCTTCTCATTTGTTGCGTGATGGTAAATGTTTAGCAGTCCTCTCTCTTGGAGAAAATTATGTATGTAAGTGCACATACATGTGTGATAAATTTTGCTTATAACAGATATTTAATGCAATTAGCAAGTAATAAAATATAATTGATTTTTACATTATAATTGTCATTGCTGAACCCTCAAGAGTCAACCTGTGACTGAATATCAACCATGATTTGATTGATAGCGTTATGTCCTGATAACCATCTCCACATAGACTGTGGACTAGTGTTTGACTTATTACTAGACTCTTACTCTTGTACAGAGCCTCCTTTTAGCTCAGCATTAATTAGTTTAGATAATTCATTTTTAATTATATTAAAACCCTAAAATTAAATGGTCAGAAGCCAGGCAATGGTGCACACCTTTAATGCCGGCACTCAGGAGGCAGGGCAGGCAGATCTCTGAGTTCAAAGCCAGCCTGGTCTACAGCATGAGTTCCGGGACAGCTAGGGCTACACAGAGAAACCCTGTCTCAAAAAAACCAAAACCACTAAACAATTGATCACCTCTTGGAGCTACCTTCATCACACTCCTGTCGTCTTTCTGTGTTTTGATCTGACTTAATTATTAGCATTGGATACAGTTGTCAGAATTGATTTACTTGTTGCCCCTTGCAGGTTCTCAGGTGTGGGAAAAGCATGGACATGGTATGGCCGTGGGGAGTCTGACCGCAGATAGCCTTTCAGGGCGCTCGGTGGCCAGATGCTTCACCTCAGAGCTGAGGAAATGCAGGACAAAACATTGATGGCTTAATTACTTGTTTGTAAAATATGTTTGATCCCGTTGAGAACTTTTAATGTATTACAATATCTTGCACAATTCTACCAAATAAGTTAAGTAGTTAGAGTTCAGTCTACCTCTTCTTTTCCTGGCTGGATTTAGGCTGCTGGTTGGGGGAGGCTGCGGTTTTATTTCCCCTCTGAAATACTTTATGTGGAGGACAGCAGATTGGGGGCCGAGGCCTAAAATCAGATTTGAGGCTTTCTGAGATCTGTTGCTGACCAGCCCTACACCCCACGAGTTGGGGAAAAGCCATTGTTTTTAATTCCCACTTAATATGAAAATGTTTGTTTTAGAAAAATGTTTCTTGCTGGTAAAAAATGTATTTTTAAAAGGAAAAACCAAATCCTATTTTGGTTCGAGGAGTCAGCTGTATGAGCAGGTGTGACCGTATCATAACATGCTGATGTCATAGAAATCAATAAATTTTTACCTCTCAGGAGTTGGGTGACCTTGTTCTTAACTCTTAAAGGCTGGAAAAATAGACTAGAGAGGCCCACAGTTCAGAATGCACAGAAACAAACACAGAGATGCAGCATTGAGGTGAGGAGGGGTTGGCTGACCACCAGAGTAAGCAGGCCTCTTTCACAGTCAGGAGAAGACGCTTCAATGGGTGTGAAAGCCTGTGTGCAAGGGAGAAAATGAAGCACTTCTTTTCTGTTGGTAAACAAGGAGCGCCCATAGTGCCCACGTCCTGGAGACACTCTGGGGATGGAGATAGGCGCTTGTTTGACTGAAGCAGGAAAATTACCTTTTTTATGTGTATGGATGTGTTTTGCCTGTATGTGTGACTGTGTGCCATATTCATGCTTGGTGGCCCCTGAGGCCACAGGAGGCCTCCCATCCCTGGGACTGGAGTTACAGGTCATTGTAAGTTGTCCTCTGGAGGAGAAGCAAGTACTCTTAACCACTGAGCCATCTTTCCAGCCCCGGTGTTAGTGAGAAAATGTGGAGCTGAGTAAGAGGCCATAAAGATTCCAGTTACGTTTTGTGTTCCTCTATGTCACTTTGGGTCCCAAAACTACCAAGTCTTACCTGCAGTTATCTGTCAGGTGATACTCTATCGGGACCAGCTGGTGGCCAGTTGAGGGTGAAGAAAATAGGTACCCAAAAGGGGAACAATCAGAACTGGAGTGCTGAGAAGAGGAACTCAAAATACTGTGTGATAAAAGGCAGGTCAGATGCTGCTGTGCACAGCAGGTGTGCATACTCCAGATAACAGACTCTGCCATGAAGGTTAGTGATAGAAAGTCAACTTCCTTATCTCCTCTGTCCTAAAGACTGCCTGTCACTCATGTATACCTCCCATTCAGGTGACTGTCCCCTGAACAGGAGAAAGACCTACCTAAGTCATTAGGAATCTCCATCCGGAGGCCCAACTAAGGGACAGTTGGCAATGCTGATGACTCAGGCCCTTCCTTCCTTTAACCAAGGCCCCTAAATCCACAACAAAGCTTTTTGCTTACCCTGGTGTGTGTATGTTCCAGTAAGGACAAAGGGTGGCACCCGTATTTGGGCTGGTCTTGGATACCTTGAATTCTGTGGGACAATAGGCATTGGCAACTCAGGGCTTCCAAAAGCACATGTAGAAGCCAACAAGACCTTGTAGAATACAACCCAGGAACAGCATCACTTTCTTTTTTTTTATATTTATTTACTTTTTAATTCATTTTACATTCCAATCAAGGTTCTCCCTCCCACCTTCCCTCGCCTCCCCAACCCAGCCCACCCCCATCCACTCCTCCCAACAGGTAAGGGCTCCCATGGGGAGTCGACATAGTTTGGCACACTAATTTGGGGCAGGACCAAGCCCCTCCCTTTTGTATTAAGTCTTAGCATGCCATCCCCTCATAGGGAATGCATTCTAACAAGCCAGCTCCAGTTCTGGGGTAGATCCTGGCCCTACTGCCAGGGGCCCCTCGGATAGCCCAAGCTTCACAACTGACTCCCACATACAGAGGGGTCTAGTTCGGACACCTGGAGCTGTCAGCTGTCTGTCCGGAGTTCATGAGTTTTCATGGGATTGTTCAACAGTCTGTAGATTTCTCCATCATGATCATCTTCCTTGCTCACGTATTCCCTCCTCTCTCTGACTAGACTGGTGCTTAGTTGTGGATCTTTACATCTGGGTCCATCAATTACTGGAGCTGTGAATTGTAGTCTGGTTCTTCTTTGCTTTGTTCTGTATCATCTATCCACTTATGAGTGAGTATATACCAGCTTTGTCTTTCTGAGTCTAGGTTACCTCACTCAGAATGTTGTTTCTTATTCTATCCATTTGCCCACAATTTTCATGATGTCATTGTTTTTTACAGCTGGGTAGTACCCCATTGCATGAATGTACCACATTTCCTTATCCATCCTTCAGTTGAGGGGCATCTAGGTTGTTCCCAGGTTCTGGCTATTACAAATAATGCTGCTATGAATGTTGTGGAGTAAGTGTCCTTTGGGTATGTGCCCAAGAGTGATATCACTAGGACTTGAGGTCGATTTGATTCCCAATTTTCTGAGAAGCCGCCATACTGATTTTCAGAATGGCTGTACAAATTTGCACTCCCACCAGCAATGGAGGAATGTTCCCCTGACTCCAGCATAAAATATCATTAGTGGTTTTTATCTTGGCCATTCTTACAGGTATAAGATGGTATCTCAGAGTTGTTTTGATTTGTGTTTCCCTGATGATTAAGGATGTTGAGCATTTCCTTAAGTATCTTTCTGTCATTTCAGTTTCTTCTAAAATTGAGAAATCTCTGTTTAGCGCTCCACTCCATTTTTAAATTGGATTATTTGATATTTTGTTGTCTGTTTTCTTGAGTTCTGTATTTGAAGATTAGCCCTCTGTCAGATGTGGGGCCGGTGACTATCTTTTCCCATTCTGTAGACTATCTTTTTTGTCTTGTTTACCATGCCCTTTCCCTTACAGAAGCTTCTCAGATTTGGGAGGTCCCATTTATTGATTGTGCCTCTCAGTGTCTGTCTACTGGTGTTTTATTTAGAAAGTGGTCTCCTGTGCCAATGCGTTCAAGGCTTCTTCCCACTTTCTCTTCTATCAGGTTCAATGAAACTGGCTTTCTGTTGAGCTCCTTGATCCACTTGGACCTGAGTTTTGTGCAGGGCGATAGATACGGATCTATTTGCAGTCTTTACATGCTGGCATCCAGTTATGCATCGCCATTTGTTAGAGGTGTTTTCCTTTTTCCATTGTACCTTTTTGGCTTCTTTGTCAGAAATCAAGTGTTCATATGTGTGTGGATTAATGTCAGGTCTTCAATTCGATACCATTGATTCACTTACCTGTTTGTTTTTTTTGTTTGTTTGGTTTTGGTTTTTTTTGTTTTGTTTTTTGGGGTTTTTTTTGTATTTTGGGGTGCTTTTTGGTTTTTGTTTTTGTTTTTTGGTTGTTTTTGTTTTTATTTTTTGTTGTTGTTTTTTCAAGACAAGGTTTCACTGTAGCTTTGGAGCCTGTCCTGGAACTAGCTCTCCTAGACCAAGCTGACCTCGAACTCACAGATATCTGCCCACCTCTGCCTCCTGAGTGCTGGGATTAAACATGTGTACCACCACCCCCCAGCCACTTGTCTGTTTTTATGCCAATACCAAGCTGTTTTTATTGCCGTAGCTCGATATAGCAGAATTCGAGGTCAGGGATGGTAATGCCTCTAGAAGTTCCTTTATGGTACAGGGTGGTTTTAGCTATTCTGTTGTTTACTTGTTTGTTTGTTTTTCCATATGAAGTTGATTATTGATCTTTCAAGGTCTGTGAAGAATTGTGTTGGGATTTTGATGGGGATTGCATTGAATCTGTAGATTGCGTTTGGTTTTTTATTATGTTGATCCTACCTATCCAAGAGCATGGGAGATCTTTCCATTTTGATGTCTTCTTCAATTTCTTTCTTCAAAGACTTCATACGGGTCTTTCACTTGTTTGGTTAGAGTTACCCTAAAATATTTTATGTTTGTGGCTATTGTAAAGAGTGATGTTTCTCAGATTTCTTTCTTGGCTCATTAATCATTTGTGTATAGGAGGGCTACTGAGTTTTTTTAGTTAATCTTACTGAAGGGGTTTATCAGTTGTAGGAGTTCCCAGGTAGAGTTTTTTGGGGTCACTTATGTATACTATCATATCATCTGTGAAAAGTGATAGTTTGACTTCTTCCTTTCCAATTTGTATTCCCTTGATCTCCCTTTGTTGTCTTATTGCTCTAGCTAGAACTTTGAGTAATATATTAAATAGATATGGAGAAGAGTGGATAGCCTTGTCTTGTTCCTGATTTTAGTGGAATAACTTTGAGTTTCTCACGATTTAATGTGATGTTGACTGTCAGCTTGCTG